ACAGCGATTAGAAACAAGTTATTCGACCTACTTTCTAGACTCACTTGACAGCGGGTTTAGAGGGCTTTTCAATTCGAGTGGTAGCTTTGTTCGTGGAAAAGTTTAGATAAAAACAGATATCGTTCCTTTGATAAATGTTGTAAACGGTACAAATCAACAAAATTAGTCATTAATTAATTGCTCGGCGCAAAAACAACAAAATTAAATACTTTAAATTTGTTTTAAATGTTCCAATTTCGATATTCAAATGGGTGAAGACTTAAAACTTCGATTAATTTAAATCAGATGCATTTATTTACTATTCGAGTATCGTGTTGGTTATAAAACATTAATGCATTTCGGGGTCATTGTACTGTTAAAGAAACGAGACAATTTTGATAATTACAGAAATCTGTTTATAGATATAAAAAATATAATATTAATAACAAAATATTTAAAATTATTCATTTTGACAGTACTAAGATGTTGAAATAATTCCTTAAAAATCTATTCCGAAGACGAATTTCGAATTTGGTATAAATTTTCTAAATATGGATTTGTTCATATTTTAAACAGTATTGGCGACGAAATTAAATATCAAAATGGAAAAGGATTGTCATTAATTGCCAAACAGTGGTTTTTGACGGCCTTAAGATTTTATTTCTGGAAGCTTTCGGAATATAGCTGGCGACCATTTCTGACGCCACAAACGAATAACCAAATTGGCCGAACGACTCCTAAAACAGGGGAGCAATAGCGAAGTAAGTAAGAGCCAATGTTTTGCCGAAGTTCGTTTAGAGAATGATCAGAAATAGACTATCATCGCTTTTGCAACGCATTTTAAACCGTGGTTCAGCCAGCCAACGTCTGTAGGCCATTCTGTTGATAAACGTCGTTTAACGTAAACGCTGTCTCTGCAATCGGCCCTGAGAGTTTGGTCATGTGTTTGCATCTTTTCAGGATGGGCTGGCCAAATGGAGTTTTCTTCACATCTGTAACACCTGAATAGGAGCCAGTTATCCTTAAAAAGACCTCCTGGTAGGCATTCCCCCTAGGCAGATCACCCAAGTGTTGCATATTTAATAGGTACTACTTTCCCCCTCATTGAATTCTGGTGTGGTGAATAACCAATACTCCTTGTTCTGATGGATTTGAAAGCATAGAGAGTGAGTTACTTTGAATATCACTCCCTTAGATGATTAGTTGTTACCTCACATGCAACTCTTAATTGATATTTTGTCCTCATTGACATCACTTGGTGACTATAAAGTCTTAGACTGCCAACTGAAAGAAATTTCCAATTGTAGATTGTAGCAACTTTTGTACTAAGAATGGAGGTAAAGATCCTGTATTTTTCATTCAGCAGTAGCATGAGGAATAAAAAATTTTGGTTCTAGGATTATTTTATTGAATATTTGATCAAAGGTATTGCTTGGGTGTTACTGTTCTATGACTAATAAAAATTCAGCTTCTAGTCCCATCTACCATGAAGTCCCAATAATGGAATGCATCATATGATTGAAATCATAGACAAATTCTCACACTAAGATTACCCTTGAGCTATACACCCTCACAATGCACTGAAACAAAAGCACATCTTGTCTGACATCAGTTGACTCCAAGATCAGCAAATTGACTTAAATATATTATAATTTGATTTGAGTCTCATTTATACAAAGGGCAAAGCAGTGGATTGGGGACAGCATGTTGCCCTCAACTGCAAGGATCCTTCTTTCCATCATATAGCAAACATATAAATGGAAATTAGATCCTAGAGATGGTAAAGAAACAATAAAAAAACATCCTTAGAAGGTCCCATATAAAGAAATCGATTAAGATAATCTTTAGCAAATAAGAAATTTGGACAAAATTTCAACTTTAGTTTATTTGTGCAATCTAATGTAAGCAATTTTGAATTTTCTCACCTTCAAAATGCATGTTTTGTTATCAAAAATCAATATACAGCTCAAAGTTTATATTTCACACTTATCTGCATAATATTTGAAGTGTTTATATTCAATTCTCAATCCACTACACCCAAAACTAGTGCATTACTAGGACATTGTGCAAGTTTGTCGTATTGCAATAGAATTCAGATGAAGCCTGAAAGAAAGAAGTGATTTCTGCACATGTTAGGCATAGAAGAGATGATCCTTGTACCTGACAGAGACAAGAGAGGTAAAATTTACACTTGCCACCATAAAAGAGACAATCTTTGTACCTGCCAGCCATAGGAGACATGATCTTTGCACTTGCCGATATGGAGAGGTGATCCAAGAACAAAGCAATCAAATGTGATTACTATTCTACTCTACAAGAACAAAGCAGAGTTTAATTAATGAAAATCATTCAAACAGATTTTGAGAACGAACACAATTCTGTAAACCATATAGAAAAGGTTTCACTAATGCTCTGTCTCAATAATTTATTTTTGTGTATTGTTTGTTTTTTATGCCTATTTTCCATTAGGCGCACACAATGCTATTTTTATTTTTGATCCCTAGGCTCAAATTCTGTTTGATTGTACCTAACAGAATTTAAACCTAGGGATCAAAAATAAAAATATTGTCAATTTAATACACTAAAAATAAAAAATTTTTAGTTAAAAACAAGTAAAAATTATACTCCTTCTATTTCCGACTTTGAGGATTCTATGAGCCAAAACAAGACAAACAAATGGCAAAAAACAATCATCACTTTATAAGTGATGATTGTTTTTTAAGTCGGAAATAGAAGGAGTATAATTTTTACTTGTTTTTTAACTAAAAATTTTTTATTTTTAGTGTATTAATATTATCACCGATCCCATTGGTTTTAATAATTGAATTGTCAATTTAATACACAATGCAGAGATATTGTCACTTTAATACGTAATGGGGTATTAAAGTGACAATATCTCTGCTCTCTGATATGACTGATTGTACCTGTCATATCAGAGAGCAGAGATATTATCAAATACCCCATTGTATTTAAAACAAAGTCATGGACACCTATTTTTTATATTTAAGTGGACCTTTATTACAATTTTGGATTTCTTACCACAATTAATGGAAAATGGCAAAGTCAATTCTATAAGCTCATAGAAGCGTGCTAGCAACTGTGAAACATCACATGATGGAGTCACACGATACTGCAACCCTATATTCCAAAAACGAAGTTGTGGACTGCCATTTTTATTAAGTTTTTGATTGTTCATAGCAATTAATGGAAAATAGTAGAGTTTAATTAATCAAAACCATTCAAACAGATTTTGAGAACAAACAAATTCTGTAAACCACACAGAAAAGGCTTCACTAATGCTCTGTCTCAATAATTTATTTTTAAGTGCAAACAATCAGATGTACGTACTAATGATATGGTATCACAATTAAATGTAATACTGTAATGGGCAATAATGCAATGCATACAATAATGTAACAATAAGTTTATTCATTAGTAACTATAATTCAGTTTGGCACCATGTGTACAAAAAAAGAAAAAAAAAAAAAAAAAAAAAAATTGCCGTCGCGGTCGATGGAGGCTCGGTAGTGTCATTCTGACGTGGTGCCGATCCTCCGGTCACAATTATATATCTTTTTATATATTTTTCATTATACCAGAAACTGTTTGTTGTTTGGGTTCATATATATGGCCCCATCAGCCCCATGCGATCCCCCAACCACTTTTCTTCCTTTCCTCCTTTCTTCCTTCCTTCGTTCCTTTCCCTCCCATCCCTTCTCTCCTTTTACTTTCCGGGCTATGCTGAAAAGCGAGGCCGTCACTACTGTAACTGTATACCAGAAACTCTTTTATTATACAATTATTATTGTACAGTATTAGTGTTTTTATTCACTATTATTAATAAAAATTTTAACTGATATTATTTCCGATTTCTTTAGAAGCAACTTATTTAAATGGGGCCCTAATTTAAATTTTGTNAAACGTAAAAATTCTCTAATTAGTCTGGAAACGGGGGACCTAATTCTTGCATTTTGTGAAAACGGGTAAGATTAGCTATAATGTAATTATCTTAATCTTCACTATCGTTACTTTTTGCCCAGCGAAGCGGGTCCTTGCAGCTAGATTCTAGATTACTTAGAAAAAGTCTTTTATATATATATATAAAAACTATACTATTACATACAAATAAAAACCCAGCGAAGCGGGATCTTGCAGCTAGTTAATTATATTATCTTGATATAAATAACTCAATTAATGCCACATTTGTATTTATAGTACATCATTGCTCGCTGCTCTCTCAATTGGTTATGTTCCTTGGAACCAAGCATAAAATTGCTATTGAGAACTTATCACTTAGGAACACTCCTCATGATAGAAAATAAAAATCCACTTTTTGCATTTTTTATAAAGGATATACAATTTGGGCCATAAGCCTCTCTTCAGTCCTTATTATGTATAATCATAAAACTAAAAATATAACTAATGATGACTACTGGAATAACTAATTGTTAAAAACATGGGGTAAAATAAGTAAAACTGTAAAACAAAAATAAAAATTTTTTGTTAAAATGTAGAAAAAATTGACCAATAAAAGAAGTAAAAACATAAAAGCTGGTTAAAAGACAAGGTGTAAAGCGTGACGTCAAGAGGGGCATTCCTATGTGATAAGTTCTCAATAGTAATTTTATGCTTGGTTCCAAGGAACATACAACCCCATTTGTATGCTTATTAGCCATATCTTCTGATTACAATATACGGTACTGTACATAAGTAGTATTAAACAGGCTTATGCATAGCCTTGGAATCTGAACATAAAAAATGACGATAATAATGACACCATTTTTTATGTTTGACTTATGACGGAGGTCCTAGAATGGAACTTCATAGTAACTCAGAGACTACTTTTACTTAATATTATAGATTCTTTAACATGTACTATTATTGACAATTTTATATTTGACTTTACTTAGTAAAATAGTAATACTAGAAATTTTAATAAATTATTTTATCATTTATATCCTGAAAATAAAAATGGAACAAACATCCTTAAATTCATTATAAAATAATACGTTCAGACTTACCTGCTAGCTTCAAGTTTTGCCAATGCAACTGGAACAGGATCTCTCCATTCGGGAATGAAAACAATGAAAGATAATGGTTCCTGAGATTCCGAAAGAATTTTCTAACAAAAAAGAACCAAATTTTATAATTTACTCTGCATAAAAATATGATAATATTTATTAACTGAAAATTGCTATGAGTTATTTGCTTTTAAAAAATAATTTGAAAGGAAGTTTATGCCAATTATAAATTTACATCCATCGAACAACAGCTTTTCCAATAAACATGTACAGTACCTGAACCAGTTACTGACATTGGAGAAAAGATGCATAAAAATCGTAAACATTTTTGAACCTTAGCTTCTCCAATAGGTGTGGGATATATGGCATAGCAGGTTTGCAAAGATTTTATTTTCATTCTAGCAATTTTCTGTGGGGTATGTGTGCCATCACAGTTTATATGTATGAAAATCAGCACATGAAATAATTTTTCTAAGAATATATATTTTACACAAAATTTGGTAATTAGATTATAAGGTAATTGTTCCACTTTCAAATTAATACATCAATATAAATTCAGTCCCTTTCAATTATACTTGGTATATGTATCAAAATATCAATGAGTGATGAAACTCATATAGCTTAATATGAAATATTTAAGTAGAAGCAGACTTCTTACTAAGAAAAGTAAACTGTCCAGCAGAAAGATGATGTCTGGTATATTATCAGAAAATGTTGCAGAGTATCAAAGTTTGACACTTATAGAACAAAATGATATGTAAATAGTCCAATTTTAAGCAGCAACTGCCTATTTTGAAAAGATAATTTTAAATTAATAGTTATAATGCAAGCAAGTTCAAACATTTTATTTTTGTCTTACCACCATTTCTTATTACAATTTTTTTGATACATAGTTTCTGCATAATTTGTAAATAAGCCAATAATCTATCACAAACAACAAAGTGGTAGAAAACAATTTTTGTTCGCTGAAAGCAGCCAGGAATAAAATCCTTTGTATTATTGCTATCCATAATTAGTAACTTAAAAATTTTAAATTTCAGAGGAGTCATTAATTTGTTCAATTAACAAAAAAAGAAAAAAAAAAAAAAAAAAAAAAGCAATGAGTTGCTCATCTTTCCCGGCAACACTTAAAAAAATCAGATGGTGTTACCAAAATTTTAACTATTATAAAATGGCAAAAAGCTTAATTTTGAGGGTAGAGATGAGTTTTATAAAAAAAATTATAAATGCTAATAACAAGTAAAATTGTCATAAGTCTGATCCTACTGGAGATACACATGACCCCCATTATCTCCCCAACTCTCAACCTACAACCACCAATATTTAATATGACAATACAACACCTGAAAAAAAAAACACGAAGAAATAAAAATTTTATTTAACATAAAAGAGTTAATCTACAGAGATTTGTTTTTGCTAAACAGGAAATAACATCACAATTTTTAATCAGTTTTATGAGAGAAATAAAGACTTTATTCCTCTCTTTAAACGTGAGGAATAATAATATTAATGATGTGGTAAAATAATAATGTTACACATAAAAAAAAAAAAGTAAACTAAACTAAAATTCCAAAGGTTCAAATCTATATTGTCTAGCTCAATGGTTTTGAAACTTATTATACCCAAGGACCCTTTCTCATAGTAACAATCTGACCACAAACTCCCAAGTCAGTGATTTTCAACCAGTGTGCCAAGAGAGGATTGTATGTGTGTTGCAAAATTTTTGAAAGCACTAAATAAATTATTTTCAAAAAAGCCCAAAGAGCTATTAATGTACAGTACATGTCAAAATTAAAACCTATAAAAATTCATACAGCCTAATCAATTTAAATTGTTATAATAAATAAACATATACATAATGTAGTAAAAAATATACAGTATATTCATAAGCAAAATTATATAAACTTATGCATAACACTGGGCTATTTCATTTTAAATGAAACTTTCTTTAAATCAAAAATGTATCTATAAACTGTGTATATTTAGTTCAAATGATTTTAACTTAGAAATAGTGGGACATTGGGCAGGTTTCTAAAGGTAATTATTGTGCCACTTTTAAATGCAAATCAAGACTTAATTGTAATTTAATTAACTATAGGTATACCTCGCCTTACGTCGGTAATTGGTTCCAGGAAAAAAGGCAACGTAAGTCAAAAAACAATGTAAGACAAATTTACTTGTCTCCGAATCTACTTGTCACTACGCTAAACCATAAATTACCATTTCCGGTTCTGTATTTTATTTATTAATGCATTTTTAATGCATTTTTTTAATGGTTAATAAGGATCTATTTTAAGCTTAAAAACAAGTAAATTTTAATTTTTAATATAGTACAGGAAAAAGTAATCTAAATTTACAAATGCATGTAGTGTAAATACTGCATGTACAGTACTTATGTAAATACAGTACATACTTGTAAATGTATATATTTTATTATGATTTTATGTGCTTTAAATGCTTTTCTAGTGATATTACGACTTAAACTTGATTTTTATTTTTCTGTATACTTTTTTTGACAAATGACGTATAATCGGGAATGACGTAAGTCGAGAATACTTGTATTATTGTAACCTGTTGCTATTTTAAGGAACAACAATACCATTTTATTTAATTAAAACTTTGTTAATCGACTTTCAGCTTAATATTTGTTGATTTTTTCTTGTTTTTCTTTTTGTCTGTAGACACTTGAAAAAGGCCTAATGGCCATAGTGTCTCTTCTTTATAAATAAATTTTATATTTTATATACAGTAGATCATCGATTATCCGAATCAATTGGGGACTGGGGTTGTTCGGAAAATTGATCTTTTGGATAACCGATTATGTACGAAAAAATATATTAACCTATCCCATGTTGAAATTTTTCTCAGTTGCGTGTTGCTTCGCGTTGAATTTTTGCTGATGTTAAGCCTAACGAAGACTATTATATCGTTAAAAATTATTTTTTTATTTTGTACAAACAAAAATATATTGAAAAATATAAAAAAATAATAAATTATACTTCAGAAGTTAATTTAGTATCAAAAACGTAAAATATTTGAGTAGCCCAAGACATAGCCAAAGATTGCAGTGCCACAGCACTGGCAAAAATTTAAATTTGCCGACTGGAATTCTTTCGGATAAGTGACGCTCTACTGTATATATAAAATAAAAAGAATTAGGTTATAAGTGGCAAGTAATAAATATGATGTTAGAATGTTTACAAACACAACTTCTTTAAATCACATGATTTTTTTCTGCCGAAATTTAATTATAGGTTCAAGTGTGCAGTGAGATTAAAAAAAGAAGGTTGAAAAACACTGCCCCAAGTTAAAAAAAATAACTCTATGCTACTATATAATAGCAAAATTACAAATTTACAGCAACTTTGATGTCTTGAATGGTGATGTAAAAATAAAATATAAATTAAATATCAAAATGTTTTAAGTAATATTTGTTGAAATAAGTAGCTAAAGCTTTCCCATTTTTGATAAACTGGTATAATATAGTAAAAACAAAAAAAAAAAAAAAT